TTTTTTTTTTTGTAGAACAGAGGATTGAACTCAGGTCCTTGCACTTGCCAGGGAAGCGCTTATTCTATTGAGCCATCTTCCCAGCTCCACCCTTCTTTGTTTGAAAAGCTTATAAATACAGGCTTCCAAGAGACTTGGTCTAAAAGACAAGAAAATCTCAATTTCTGTGAGAGGGCTTTGTGACCCTGATGGGGCCCTGAAATCATGCCATTTGTCTTATTCATTCAAGTGTTCACAGTCCACTCTTTTGGGAAATCACAGGCCTGATCAGCCTGCAATAATAAGGGAACATTATTAATCCAATAAAAAGGGGCTGTGCTAAAATCTTGCTCTTTAAAAATAAATCACTGTTCTTTACATTGTGCTTTTTAAAGACCCCACTGAAAAAATAGAAAGCAGCCCACAAAGAAAGAAAAGACATTTATAATCCTCAGTTCATGTGAAGATCCTTACCCAAGACATGACAGAATTCCTACAAATCAACCTGTAGAGACAAACAATCTATGTAGGAAACCTGGCAAATACTTGAAATGTACAGGAAAGAACTCCCATCTGTGCTAGGCAGGCATCGCTTCCCTCAGGTGTTTGGCAGCATCAGCAGAGCGGGACACAGACACAGCCCAGGATCCCTCCTAGACTGACAGCCCAGGTGTCCACACATGTCCCTCTGACTGATTCCCATGTGGAATGCTCACAGGAGCATCGCATGGACAGTCCCACATGGGTATTACCCACATGTCTACCCATGACAGAATAATCTGTGTAACATCTCCATCACCAGAGACAACAGAGATGTTTTCTGTGGAGGTAGAAAAGAAGTACTTGATTGGCCTTGGGTAGGGTGCTCATTCGGCCATATCTTCCCCAAGACGTGTCTCCATGCTGTCTTGAGGATAGGGAGGGTCCAGGAAGATCTGAGGCATCCCATAGACAATGAAAGCATCCCCAGCTGTCATGGGGTCAATCTTCCTGACCCTGTTGCCCAGGCTAGATTTCTAACTAGGGTTTAGCTAAACATAACTCTGGGTCAGAATACCTTGCTGGCTATAGTGAGATCTTTGGATGTCTGCAGGCAAAGCAGAAGGTGTCCCTCAGAACAGAGTTGACCATGTGGAGGAAGACATGCTGGGGACCCAGGTGAGGCCTGGGACACCTCTTCCTTACCAGCATTATGCAAGCAGGCCCCACTATGTGTCCCCACTTTGCAAAGGAGTTTCCTAAGCCATGTGACCAGTCCCACCTGGTTTGAGAAGAACACTAGGAGTTCCATCCTAGTGCTGAGTGGCCCCCACCCTGCCTCAGTTTACCTGCAGTCCCTCTCCAGCTCCTTAGATTCATCAGTGCAGTAGAAAAACTTCCCTTTGAAGAGCTGTACTGCAATGACGGCAAATATGAACATGAAGAGCATATAAACAATCAGGATGTTCAAGACATTCTTCAGAGAGTTTACCACACAGTCAAACACAGCCTGTGGGCAGGAAAGCAGAGTAGTGTGAGGAGGGGCAGCTAGCTCTCCTGGTAGGCTACAGAGATGTAGTGCACTCTCTTACTGTCCTTGCCCTGCTCCTGCCCTTCAGCAGTAGGGATGGCCAGACTGAAGACAAAGCAGAAGGGCTGTGGCCCAGAGACGGGCCATCAGAATAGACTCTGGGCATGCTCTGGGGCCCCACGCCAACTCTGGCCTGTGACCACCACCCACCTGATTTCTCTTAGCTTCTCCCCATGCAGTACTGCCCCCTGGTTCTGCAGACCAACATTTCCGCAGGTGCTGGCTAGAGGGCCCCTGCCCCTTCCCCTGCTAAGCCAGACATGACTTGGCCAGGCTTGGAGGCTCTGATATCTTCTCAGATAGCCTCCCTCCTAACCCTCCAGTGTAAGTTCTAAGAAAACTATTTTCTTGTACAGTGATACCTTGGTTGTCAATGATTTAATACACTACCCTAAGCACCCTAAGCTGTATGGATGAAAGTGGTGTTTAGACCAAGGCACCAGCACTTTGTGTCCACAGTGAGACACAGCACATAACTCACTCGTGGCCCATCCAGGATTTTTCAAGCCGGATTTTTGGTTCAACTACCAAGCAAAGTTATGAACACCAAGCAGATTTTTCCCAAAGTTCGAGCTTGCAGCCATCCAATAACCAAGGTACCACTGCAGTTCCTACTTGACCCAGTGTCTCTAAGGACTGAGTGCCCAGATGTTATAACAGCACACGACATAAAGCTCCAGAGGACTGAAAGTGTTAAAAGATAGCATCAGCTCAGTAAGTATTAAGATTGAGTTTATACTCTTCCTTCACCCAGAACCTCAGCTGTGCCCACCCTCTAGGGCCCAGCCCTGGAGCTGCTTTCTAGAGCCCCCGTCAGCAACTTCCTCCCTGCATCTCACGCCCCCGCAGTCCCTCTCTTGGCCTGCAGCATTGAAAAAAACATGAGGCCTCCCTCATGGGAGTTATGGGAGACTGCTAAGAACAAGCTCTCCTTGAGGGGTGCAGGGCTCAGTAACCCCGCACTCCTCGCACAGATAGGTGATTTAAGAAGACACATGTAAACACACACAGAGGCATGCTTATGCTCACACGGGCTCACACACAGGCATGCACCTCACACAGCACACCCCTCCAGCACCAATCCAGGCTCCTACCTTGAGCTTAGGAAGCCGCTTGATGGTCTTCAGGGGTCTCAGGACACGCAGGACTCTCAGGGACTTGATGGTGTTGATGTCTTTCCCTTTGGATCCTCTAGAAGGGAGAAGCTCAGATGCGGACAGGCAAGAGGTAAAGGTATGCCTGGCCCCTGGCAGCCCAGGGTATGGTCCACAACGCCTTGTGGATTTTTGCATCTGGCTCCACAGTACAGTACCAAGCTCAGGTTCCTGTTTGTGGCTGCCTGCGCTGGGCTTCATGTGAGGACAAGGGCCTAGGGAAGAGCCAGCTCAGCAGGTGTGGTGCACAGAGGCAGCTGAGTGGGTGGGAATGACCCATTCCCTCAGACCACAGCAGCTACTTCTACCTCCCTGTAGCTCCCTGATACCTGGCCCAATGCAACTTCCAGCAACAAAGAGTACTGAGGGGCCTGGCATTTGGCTGGTGCCCAGAGGTCGAGGTCTGTGAGCAAACCCTGCGTGGCTGGGACGTGCTGGAGGTACCAGAGGAAGAGTGCTCCCCTACTTCTTAGGGACAGGCTTATCTGGCCCCAGCTCTGAAGTCCACATGCCTGTTCTCAGGAGACCACCCTCCTCCAGATGATGTGAAATTGACCCAAAGGAAGAAGGGTCAATGGAGAAGAGTAAGGAGAAAAGACACATAGACACAGGGCTAACACAGAGGCATTCAGAAGAACATTTCAGGCACTAGAAGCAGGCTCAAAGGCCAGAATTAGAGGACCCAGATTAGGGGCCCTCACAACAACCAGAGCAGACCCAGGTAGCTGTCTCTGCCTCTTGGGGACCCAGGTCTGCTGTGTGGGAAGCTCCCCACTGAGGAAGCCCTGCTCACCCCCACCGTGAGCACTCAGGACTGGGCAGCACCCTACACACAGGCCCCGCCTGGGCTGCTGAGGCCTGTCCTCTGAACACCCAGCCTGGCCTGCACAGAGTGGTGTCCCTGCTCTAGCAACTGCCCAGGCGCCAGCACAGCCGAGACTAGACAGTATCTGGCCTCTGCGCTGAGTGGGACAAAGTGCCCACTCCAGGCCTTTCTCCCAGGAAAAGTGGAGCTCGCCCCACTCCTCCCTCAGCCCTCTCTTGCAAACCAGATCACGCTGCCCCTGAGACACCAGGCTCAGACACTGCCATCACCCAGCACCATCCAAGTCCATTAAGCCTCGGAGGAGACACAAGGAGTCACAGGGACTGGTGTGGAGGAGGAGGAAAGAAAGCTTCCGCACTTCCAGAGACAAGCTGCACGGGAAGGCACCTAGGGTGGCCAAGGTCTTGCACTACGGCCACAGCAGCTGCTCCTACCCAGACCCCTCCTTGTCCTACGGGCCAATGTCTCGCCCTCCAGTGTGCGCTCAGGACACCCACCTCCATGGAAACCTCACCAGGCCAAACTCCCCAGCCTGCCCAACCCCCGCCCAGCCCCATAGGCGTAGCGGGAGTGACACTTGGGGATGGCCCCGGCAGCATGCAGCCCAGGGGGTGGAGGTGGATGAGTACAATGTGATGGGATGGCAGAGGCCATGGTGTGCTGTGGGGGTGGGGGCAGTGGGGTGGGGAAGGCATTACCCCATGAAGCTCCTACCGAGAGTCCAGCAACAGGAAGACAAAAAGAACAGAGTCAGTGTTGTGGGAGGGCAGAGTGGGAACAGAGAAGATAAAGACCCTTCCTTCAGTATCTACCGGGTCCTCCTAGTCTCCCAATCTCACTCATAACTTCCACTACATCTCCCCACCCCAGGCCAGCTGGGCGCCCTCCACGCAGGGAGCCCATTCCAGTGCAAGCCACTGCCAGGCTAAGCACCTCAGGATCACAGGGCACTGTCTCACCCTAAGAGGGGAAAACGTCCACCAGCTATGGCAGGGATGGGAAACTTCAGCTAGGTACTTAGCTTCCAATGGTAAACTTGTTCTGAAGGGCCCCAAAAGACAAAAGACAGGGCTGGAGAGATGGCTCAGTGGTCTAAAGCACCTACTTGAAACAAGCTTGGCAAAGCACAGGGACCGCGGTTCGATCCCCAGCACCACATGCCAGCCAGCCCCGCCCCCTGGTGGGCTGAGCTGGCCACACACACAATAAATAAAAATGTAATAAATAAAAATATTAAAAAAAAAAAACCACTTCTAAAAAAAAAAAAAAAAAAAAAGACAAAAGACAAAAAGCCAGAGCCTATACACCAACCTAGTCCCAGACCCTGGCTGAGCTGAGGACAGGCAGGCAGGGTTCGATCCTGATAACCTCCCACAGCCCAGCCCAGGAAAGTAGGGAGGAATCACATAGGCAGCTACAGAGCACCCAGTAAAGCTGACAGGGGTCTGTTTCTCCTCATCATCCAGCCCCACCATGGTTCTGGGGCTGTACCCACAAGGTCTGGAGCAAGTGTGGTTACTTACGAGAAGGCAAAGGCCACAAGGGCCCCGCTGACCACAATGAAGTCCAGAATGTTCCACAAGTCCCGGAAGTAGGCTCCAGGGTGGAGCAGCAGTCCCAAATCAATCATCTGCAGGGGAGAAACACACTGTGGAGTACATTCTATCCCAGGAGGAAGCAAAGCCAGCCCAGCCACAGAACATACTGCACATCTGAGGCAACAGACACCTCTGGAGCCCCTCCCCATGCCTGACAAGCCACACCCTCTAGCAGCCTCAGTGGGGCCTCTGGCACAAACAGCTGTCCCAACAGTCTTCAAAGTCTTCCTGCATTCTCAGCCTCCCTGAGCCCTATCTGCCCTTCCATCACTGAACAGCGGGGACACACTGGACTCTTACTCTACCCAGACCCCAGAGGATCAGCTCAGGCCAATGGGAACAACTGGCTGGAATTTCACAGATACCTTACTCACGTCCTGCCTCTTCTAGTCCTGGTACCATGTTTTGTTTTGTTTTTTTCCTCTCCCCACCCCCTTTCTGATACTGTGACTGAAACCTGGGCCTTTGCACTGAGCTACATCCCTAGCCCATTCTTATTTTTTACTTTGAAATGGAGTTTCAACAAGTCACTAAATTGTCCATGCTGGCTGGAACTTGAGATTTCCTGCTTTGGTCTCCCAGAGGGCTGAGATTAAAAGAATATACCACCATGGTGAGCTTACTGTACATTTTTTTGCAAGTGCCTCAGCTGTCCCATGTGTGGAATGGGAATCACCCTTCAGAAAACTTTACCATATGTGAAACAGCAGGGAAATATGTTCATATACCTCTTCTGTTCCACACATAAAATCAATCCTGACTATACCTGTGCAGGGACCTCACACCCTTAAGCTAGCACACAGGAGAGCCCCCCACTAGATGTGGATAGGTGTCACTCTGTGAGGGAAAAATGAAGGCTACAGTGGCATGGTAGACTCAAAAGTATCCCCAAACACACCAACGACTGCAATTTGGTCTGTGGCCTGCACTCCCACAGCCCTCCAGGCCACCTCAAGCTCCTAGGTCGCCTTGTCCTCTTGTTGATATCATGTGGCCCCTTTCTCTGGGGGCACCATAGAACCTGGAGAGTTAGAGAGTCCACACATGCCCATGACCCATTTGTTCAGGGGCCAAGTAGCAAGTAAGATCAGGTCCCGCTGCGAATGCCCCAAAGGACAGCACACAGCCAGAGACCCTTCAGTAACTCAGGGTACATCAGGACGCAGAGCAGACCCACAGCATCACTGAGCACAGTCCCATCTGTGCACCTCCAACATACTCCATGGTCCAAGGGAACATGGCCCACCTTTATCACCATCTCAAAAGTGAAGACGCCTGTGAAGATGTAATCCATGTACTTCAGAGCCTGGAACCAAAAGGAGGGTTACTCTCCACAGCTGGGCCAGAGTAGAGCCAGGACCATTCCAGGGCTCCAGCTTTCCCCTAGACCTCTGAGCAGATGACCGTCTGCCATCTGGGGGCACACTAACACAGGTGTCCCTTGGGGACTAGGCCCCCTCCAATCACAGCCCTGACTCTGACCTACACCCCTAGAAGGAGGACACAGGCAGGGAGGAGGGATGTTGGGTAAGGAGACAGGACCCCCCTTGGCACCATGCCAGCCCTGCAGCCCTGGGAAAATGCCCCGTGGATGGCCCTTGAAGCAACTCACGTTGTTTCTGGATGAGTCTGTCCGCACAGGGTCCTCCGCAGCCAAGGCAATGCTGCTCAGGGCAATGACCACAAGGATGACCATCTCAAAGTACCGCATGGTGACAATGTAATGGCAGAAGCGACGAAGCCTGTAAGGACAATACAGCATTGCCACTGGGCCCATGAGGAGGAATGCATGCCACCCTCTCCTAGAGAAAGGATTGTCACTATGCACAAGAGAGGGTATGTCAAGTGCCCCTGAGGTCAGTGGACAGCAGCCTGGTGACTAGTAGTGACAGGTTCTTGAGGGTCAGCAAATGACAGCTTTTAGGTTACCCTTCTGTGAATGAGGAAGGATAACTGTAGCCATCCATTTACCTACTGTTTGCAGCCCCAGGTGACACCATTCCCCATACGGCTCCATACAGAGTAGGTGTGCTGCAGGAGAAGGAGGGCTGGCTCAGAGAGACGGAATGTGAGCGTCAACCCTTGCAGAAGGCAGGCCGCTCTAACCCTCAGAACGGTGGCCAGCACCTGCGCTGGGCGGGTACACTGCCACACACTCCCCTTCTGCTCAGGCACCTGGTGTCTCTCACTGGCTTGTTAACACTCTGGGCATCTGCTGGACACTGGCACAGTCATGCCAGGACAGGCAAGTGCCTGACCTCAGAAAGCTCCACACCAGTAGACGGAACACCAGTGAGCAGTGTCGAAATACACGGGAAGTTCTAAAATGCTGACAAATGCTGCCACATGGCAATAGACAGTGGCCAGGTCAGCAAAGCAAGTCTCTAAATGGTGGGCAAGAAGCAGCAGCCATGGACCAGCAGAAGGGTTGTCCATCTCTCCTGCCACAGGTGCTGCCTGCTGCCAGCTCCTCCTACTTCTGCTCCTCACCTCCACATCAGCCTCTCTACAAGGACTACTCAGGTCAAACTGGGCCAGTCTCTTCTTTGACCTCCTACTGAGTGTGCTCTTCTCCCTCGGTCAGTGGGCTGCCACCATGCATTCCTCCCATGTTCCTCCATGACAACCACAGTCCTGCAAAGTGCACCCAGTAGCTGTTCTTCTCTGGCTTTCCAGCTCAGCTGTATTAGCTACTTGGAACTCTGCTTCTACTTAGCACTGTTCTCTACGGAACACTTGCTCCTCCTTTGTGCTGTCCTTACCTGTTTACCCTCTGTCTCCCCAGCACACTAAGTCTGTTACTTAGTAACAGCCCTTATTTCACCCAACCCCCTAGCACAGCAGGGTTAGCAGCCAATAAATGTGAGTGGATGGGCACAAGAAGAGAGGGAGCAGGAAGGGAGGTGAGAGGGGAGGGCAGACCCACAAGGGTCCCTCTAACACTGTTGTGCCCTGATCTCTCCTCTGCCCTCCTCGCTGGGTGGTATCTGTGGGCCTTACCTTTCTGCTCCCCCTCCCCAGAGTGCTCTCCAGCCCTCCCTCAAGGCTTGGCTGTACCACATTTCTGACCTCTGTCTCACTTTAGCTCCCAACAGCCCACATATCCACTTCCACTTCCTGTTTCTTCCTGGCACTCATCACTGACATTTTATGTGTCCTGAATTGTCTTTTTTTTTTTTCAAAATTTTACTGATAAACAGATAGCAATGAGACAGTTTCAAATCAAATCGCTGAATTGTCTTGATCATTGTCTTTCCCGTGGAGCTCAGACTCCCACAGCTTGGCAAGGACAGGTACTCTTGCCTCTCTTGGTCCTCACTGTAGACTACCGGCACCTAGAATGCTGTTTGTACATAAAGGTGAGTTGGATTCATGAAATCGCTGGGGTGATGAGTGGATGACAAACTGTGATAAACACAGGAAGGGACCCGCAATCAACAAGCGAACATGCAATACGCACACATGTACACAAGGGCAACAGTGTGATGGAGAGGTGGCTGGGGGAAGGCGCTATGTGCCTTGTATGTGATGGAGCTGTGGAGGGGCACAGGCTCTGCAAGTGTGCAGCTCTGATCCAGCTCCACCACAGACAACACCCTGGTCTTGTGTCCTCCTCCTTAGGAGGAGGTGATGGGGAGTGCCTGCCAGATGGTCAGAGCTCAGCGGACACTGTGCAGAGTCAACTGTGCAGGCTGCATATCCCATGTATATTGGCTATGATGTTCATGTGGGTCCAGCAAGAAGATGACAGGGTGAACAGAAGCGAGGGTGGGTGTGGAGACTCACAGGTTAGTGGGGCTGAGACAGAACATGGAGCTGTATGGGACAATGGGCCGGGGGCCACTCCTTAGCACATCATCAGCTTCCACTTCCTTCTTCCCCTCCTCATGGCTTTCCAGGTCCACGTTACCACCTACAAGGACACAGGGCCTCCAAGTTAGCGGTATAGTACCTATAAAGCCCATATAAGTGCTACATGCAAGTGAAGCAGACCACCCAGGGAAGAGTATGTGGCTAAAACACAGTTTCTCCTGGAAAAACACAACTAAGGCAACCAGAATGGAGACAGAGAGCCACCTGTAACAGACCCTTCCAGGCACTTCCTCACCTCCCACACTGGTTGGTACAACCTGGAACAGCACCCTCAGTGTAGATGCCATGCCACCACGAGTGGTGAGCACGTCAGAGCCTGAGGAGTCTTTCTCTGCACCTGCTAGCCCTGGCCCAGCCAGAAGGCAGAGCAAGAGCTGACTGGGGCCCACAGAACCACAGGTGCTCTTCAGCCCTCTGTCTAATCTGACTGGCCCAGGGGCCCTCATGCATGACCCAGGGAGGCCTCTGAGCCCCTGCCTGCCACCCTCACCCCTGGCACTGGGTTTCCATTCTTTACTACCCCTCCTGGGTCTCCTGCGTCTCTCATCCCTGTACTCACTACTTTGCACCCAAAGCCAAATTTTCTGGGTTAAAATGGCTGTGAGCTTTGTTCCTTTTTAGGTAAATTGTGTAAAATCCCCTTATGTCTTCATTTTTAACTACACTAATGCATATTTCAGTTCTCATGGGTGACAGAGTTCTTGATGCCCTATATCATTTTTACTTCTTTAAAGAAGATAAAAGCAAGGAGATGCTAAGTAACAAAAGTCACACAGCCTACATCTTGGCCCTAGCTTTTCAAGGTCAGTGAAGGCTTAGGACATAGAAGAACCTATACTGTAACATCATGTAACTCAGTTGTATCCCAAATTTTCTGATCAAGGAGATTATGGGGGCCACAGAGGAAAGCTATTGATGATGTAGAATGTGCCTAAGGAGAGTCACATGGAGAGAAAACATTCTCTCAGGCTTTCACAGAGAGCAAATTGGTCAAGCAATGGCCATGACTCATCCACATGGCTGACACTGACAAAGGATCTACAAACTGTGGTACAGGGTTTCAGGATAAATCCTGAAGGAATTTGACTGACCTTGTCAGATACAAAAGTTACATTTCTTGTTATATAGGTCTTGTTTTATCTTGCTCTTAACCATTCAGCAGGAAAGTATAAAAAGAAAATCTATATTAATATGCTGAGCTATAAAAGGCTCAAGTCAACAACTTCTGACATTGCTAGTCCTATGGAAAACCCACTACTGTTATGGACTACTGGACTATATGGGAATATTTTGCTGAATTCACACACCTACAATATTTAAATGACAATGGAATACCCTTCTCTGACAAAACTAAACAAAAAAAGAGGATACAAATGAACAACTGTTTTGTATCTGTATATTCAAAATAGGATAGATATACAGTTACTTTCTCTTAATTCAATGAATAGAAAGATTTGTTCTAATAGTGTTTGCAGACAGGATATCATGTCTGCATCTTGTACAATGAATAACCACTAAGACAACAATATGCCATGTATTGATTATTGAAACTGTCCTACTAATTGGTTTTGAAACTATCTCATTGCTATTTGTTTCTCAATAAAATTATTTTAAAAGATAAAATAAAAAAAAGTAAGTGACAAAAGGTTAAATATCACATGGTACCTCTAAGGGAAGAGATCCAAACTACAACATAAACAATTTAAAGAACATTATAGAGGGCTGACGAGATAGCTCAACAGACTAAGTGCCTGCTTAGGCAAGCGCAGGGACCAGGCTTCAATCTCTGGCACCACATGCTATGCTGGCTCCACTCTCCAATACGCTGAGGCAGCCAGACACTGGACATGGTGGTGCACACCTGTAATTCCAGGGCTGAGGACGCTGAAAACCGGAGGATCACTATGAGTCTGAGCTGTGTAGTGAGACCCTATATCAAATACATTTAAAAAAAAAAAGAAAGAAAGAAAGAAAGACAAGAACATTATAAAGACTACCTTAAGAAGCAAGGAGACATGGAGGGGTCCTGTATTTTTTAAAATATTTATTTATTTATTTATTTATTTATTTATTTATTTATTACAGGGATCTTGCTATGTAGTTGAGACTCAGTGATCCTCCTGTCTCAGCCTCCCCAGTGCTGGGATTACAGGTGTGCACCACCACACCTGGTTTTGGGGCCAGCACAGCATGCCTTGGGTTCTGGAGCTGGCATGGCACGCAGTACCAGGGATCAAACTTGGGTCTTTGTGCTTGCCAGGCAGGCGCTTAGACCACTGAGCTATCTCCCAAGCCCAAAACTAAAATTGAAAGAGTAACACAAACGAAGGTGCTTATACCCAGAGCCTACTGTGAAGACCAAGTCTCCAGGCCCCTCCCCTGCCTGTGGTCGCTCTGGACCCCTGCAGAGAACAGCCAGGCTGGGGAAGCCTGAGCTGAAGGCTAGAAGAGCTATAGCCACAGTGCAAACACAATCTGCCTACAAGCACTCTGACAGCAATCTTTTTTGAAACAAGTACAGTACTATCAAATCTCTGTGCTGAAAATGTAAATTATATAATCTCTGAGAAAGTTACAGGCAAAACTGTTCTGAAACCTAAAGAATTCTATTCATAAAACATTACTGAAGGAAATCAAGTATATACACAAAAATCAGTAGTGACAAAGTCTTTGTCATAAGCTCCCTCTCCCCCTTTACTGGGGATTCAAATTGTGGATTTTGCACTGAGCTACACCCCTCAGCCTTTTAAAAACTTTCTTTTTTTGAAACAGGGTTTCACTAAGTTGCCCAGACTGGGCTCAAACATGTAATATTCCTGCTTCAAACTCAAAGAACACTGAGATTAAAGGAGTGTGCCCCCACATCCAAGCTTATAATAAATTATATTGTTAAAAACTAAAAACATGCAATTGCAGATCAACTAAGAAAAATATTCAGTACTTATATGAAGCAGTAGAATGGGTAGCAAAAACACCACAGAGAGTTTAAAGGACATAACAAGAGATGACTGACACGGCAGTTAGCAGAGGAAGAACACGGTCCCATGTAGATGAGCCCACAGTGAGAAGCCACACCAAGCTGTAGCATAAGGGCCCATACTGGCTTATTGAAAGCAAACTGAATCTTTTTTGCTAAACTTTTAAGATTAAAGAAAACCTTTTCTACAAAAAAGTAAGAAATATTTACTATTTTATGGGGCTGGTGAGATGGCTCAGTGGTCTAGAGCACCTACTTAGAACAAGCTTAGCAAAGTACAGGGACCGCGGTTCAATCCCCCAGC